CAGTACACCTGGGTTAAGATGCTTTTTTAATTACTTTTTGCACCCGGTGGAAGGTGGGGGCCAAGATTCACTTATTTCTCCATGTAGCTCTTCAGCTGTCCCGCCACCACTTGCTGCAATCACATTTCTTTCCCCAGAAGGTTGCTTTGACACCCCTGGCAAAACCCAAGGACTTTAAGCTGAGCCTATATCTGGCTCTCATTTGTATATCCCGAGGCCAGTATCACCCTATCTCGATTACTGTAGATTACTAATGTTGAAGTCAAGTAGTGTAAGTCCTTCAGCATTGACTGTTTGGTTAGCACCGGGCTTTCTGAAAGCTCCCCTGGTGATTCTAGTGTGCAGCCAAAACCTGAGAACACTCTATTGTGAGCCAAAGTTTCTAGGTTCAGCTTTCAAGTCACTATTTTCCAGGCTGACTTGATAAACCAACTGTTATACTTGATCCTACCGTTTAGTCTTGAATCCTCTTTCCGCCCAGCTCTATGGCCGATGCACTGAGGACTTCCTCCACCTCTCGTCTGGCTCTCCACTACTTCTAGGAAAAAAATTCTAAGCCCTTGCTATGGTTAAAACCATACTATATAGGGCACCCCTGGTAGTACGATAGGTTAAAGCGCAGCACTGTGAAGCTGTCTGCAGCTACTACAGCACAAGTTCGATCCCCGGCCGGGGGTGACCACAGGGCGCAGCAGACCCCTCCTGTCTCCCCACTGCCCCCTCAGCAGTGTGTTTCAATGGACCCGCTTGTTCTGCTCCCCACTCTGTCTCCAGGGAATCCTCTCACCACCCCCCTTACCTCTGGCCTGTACCCCAGTTCTTGTATGCCCACATAAATCTTTAAAAATAATCATACTAAATAAACTTGTGATTAGGGTTCCTATTCTATCACCCATGATCCACAATAAACACCACAAACTTCAGCCAAACCACTTGCCTTTCTCAAATGCTTTAAAACGCTTCACATCGCCAGATTTTTGTCTCCCCACTGTACCCCACCTTCCTACCATTGCTTGTCCTCTCCCTCCCATCCTTCAGCATGTAGCCTGGACCACCTGCCCTGCCCTGCAGTGACCCCTGTATCCCGAGTGTGTACCCCGTCTGGTTCCCAGGCCCCTATCAAGCTCTGTGCTGATTGTTGATCATCTTGCACACAGCCCACTAACCTTTATACTTCTTGGACTGAGACTGAGACTTGGATTTCCTTGTCCATCGTGCCTAGTTATGTGCCGGACAGATGAGATAGCTAGTTGCTTATTAAATGTTAAAACCCAGGGTCTGATCTGCACTAATTTAGGGGCAAGTACCTTAATTTGGGCAGATTCCTCTATGTCTGCACCGACAGATGGGAAACAACACCTCCGAGCACCCCTGCCACAGGCGGCTGTGAGACTTCGGTGAGTTAATCCACGCAGAGGCCACCGCGTGGGCCTGGCGCTCAGTGCCCGCTCCCTGGATTAGCTGTTCAACTTTCCGCCCGCCGCTCCCGGCACCCTTCCCAGGCACACTTCTTCCACCGACCACTAGGTGGCGTCGGCCTCTGGGAGCTGCCCCCTTGATGTCCTACCCCAGGGCCCGTTATGCTCCAGCAGGAAGAGGGCATGTTGGAGGGCTGGCTGGGAGATCCAAAGGAAGCTGCCTCTTCCCACACCAACTTCTTTTCTTTCCTTAAATAATATTTATTTTATTTATTTATGCATACAAGAACTGGGGCGCAGGCCAGAGGTGCAGGGGGTGAGGACTCCCCAGAGACAGAGTGGGGTGCAGAACAGGCAGGTCCACTGAAATCCACTCCTGCGGGGAGCCACGGGGAGACAGGAGAGGTCTGCTGCGCCCTGTGGGTCCCTCCCTGGCTGGGGATTGAACTCAGGTCCCAACAGTGGCGAGAGCTTGAGAGCGCTGAGACCTTAACCCCTTCTCCACCAGCGAGACCCTTCCCACACCAACTTTTTGCTTATTGTCATCATTCTGGACAGTCTGATCATGGATTTCAGAGAATTCCTCTTCAGTTTTCCACTGTATGTTTATAATACCAGCCCAAGCCATTTGAAGATAGAGGGAAGCTTCTAAAGACTTGGGGAGAAAGAAAAGTTGTGGTATGGCCCTCCTTGGTGGTTAGAGCAGGGCTGTGGAGGTGCCCGCAGTCACGGCCACCACAGTGGGAGTTGGACCCGCGGCCAGGGAGTGACCCACGAGGGGTAGCGGACCTCTCCTGACCCGCCCGCTGCTCAGCAGTGTGCTCGTCGATCCCCCTGTTCTGCTCCCAGCTGTGTTTCTGGCGAATCCTCTCCCCCTGCACCTCTGGCCTGTACCCCAGTTCTGTATGCATCAATAAATAAATCTTTGGGGGGAAAAAAAGAATAACAGGAGCACGTGTCTGAGGATGGCAGAGGAGCTAGAAGAACTGTGATGCAGGCTCACGTAGAATACGCCTTCTCCCATCTCACAGAGCCTCAGAAGTTTGCCTCCCGGAAGCCCCACAGATGCGGAGTGTCCGAGTGAGGCAGCTCCGAGTGGCCAGAAGGAAGCCTGATGAAGCCTGAGCTAGATGTGCGGGACCGTGTAGAAAGGGATCAAGAGGGGCCCCCCTGGTGGCACAGCGGTTAAGCGCAGCACTGCAAGCTGGCCGCAGCCTTTGTGCGAGTTCCAAGCCCAGCCAGGGACCCCAGGGCGCAGGGCCCGGCAGACCTCTCCCAGCAGACCCTCCGGGTCTCTGGCTGCCCCCTCAGCAGTGGACTTCAGTCGACCTGCCTGTTCCGCTCTGTAGTCTGTCTCTGGTGAATCCTCTTACTCCCGCACCTCTTGCTTGTACCACAGTTGATAAATCTTAAAAAAAAAAAAGTTAATTTAAAAACACCAGCTTCAGAATAGTGTCTATTAAATGAGCTCCTTTGCGCCTTAAAGGATAGTTACTGAGGTGTCCAGCACCAAAACAAAAGCCAAGAAACCACCTTCACGGAAGAGGACCCCAGGAACCCTCAGAGGGTTACTGAGAACATGAGCCGGACAGCCTGTTTCCTTTTCACCTGTACACTCCTGCACGCTGAAGTCTCTTTAAACCACTAAGTACGACCTATTTTTTCCCCTTACAACATGAAGTCAATAAAAATAAATGTACATTCAGGAGATAGCAGGGGTTGGGAGGTGCCAAGCTACGGCGCCAGCTTGCTGGCAGAGGCTGGATTTTGGAGGTGTCACATGTCGGGAGACGGGGAGGCAGTTTAGGACACGGACGGACCTGCACAAACAGGGCGCCGGGAGAGGAAGGGGACCCCTGGCCACTGCAGAGGGCTTCCCCTTTCTGATTTCACTTGGACCACGCAGTAGGGGGCCCTATAGGCGTTCATAAAAAAGCTTCGGGGAGTCGGCCCATGTGCCTGCCATCGTTTGCCAGTGCAAGACTAAGCACAGCCCGCCTGGTCAGTCAGAGGAAAAACGACAGGCCTCGAGGCCAGGCTTGCAAGGTCGCAGGTAGAGCGAAAGGCCCTGGCGAGCTGGCCAAGAGTCTGGGGTTTCCGCCCGGGAGACTGAGGCAGGTGGCCGTGGCCGGGTGAAGTCAGCAGGCGGGAGATCGGGCTGGGAAGGGGGGGGCCTTTCTCCCCAAAGCCTCCCCTGCTCCCACGGCCAGCGGCGACTTGGGGCTGTGCTTCCGGCCAGGGCAGCGCGCGCACACCTGGGGTCGTTCTTGGCCCGAGCTCTGCGGGGAGAAGAGCGCGCGCTCGGGGTCACCCGCGCCAGCTCCGGCCGCGGAGGTCGCCCGCGGCCGCCCT